TACCTTAAATCTGTGGCCCTTGGACAGAGTTGCTCAACCAGCTTCAGTTGAGGAGCTTAAGACCCTCTTTGCAACCTGAGTTATTTAACATGAGTGACTTTGTCTCTTGCAGAGGACTCGTACAGGCAGCCCTACCGTGAGGATCAGTATCCCATAGTGAGGTACCTGCGCCAGCCCATCTTCCTGGAAGTTCAGGTCCTGAACCGCAATGACCCCAGCCTGCACCTGGTGCTGGATGACTGCTGGGCAACGGCCTCCCAGGAGCCAGGATCCCTGCCCCAGTGGAATATTGTTGTAGATGGGTGAGTGCCCCACCACAGGAGTGAAAGCACCTTTGGCAGTGGGTGTGAGGAGTCCCAAATTCTCCCCTGCTCCCTCTTTAGTAAGAGAGCCTTAAGTGTGAGGGCCTTCTAAGTGCTGCCCTGGAATGCTCGAATTTGAGGGTGCTTCCTTCTTCCTACAATCTTGAAATTTAATCTGCTGCTTAAATGAGTCAACACCAACAACCCAAATCTTCTCTACCTTGATGTTCTGACTGGGTTTGCATTTATTGGCAGCTGTGAGTATGACCTAGACAACTACAGGACTGTGTTCCACCCTGTGGGACGTGGTGTCAGCTATGCCAACTATCGCCAAAGGCTGGAAGTGAAGACTTTTGCTTTTGTTTCTGGTGACAAAGCCCTTTCTGGCCTGGTAGGTGATGTTGGACTTGGAACAGCAGTAAGAGCAGCTGCTGTTTCAAAAGGAAGAGGTGTCTCACTCCTCTCATTCTGTCCCAGGTGTACTTCCACTGCAGCGTTCTGCTCTGCCACCGTTTTCACCCAGACTCCCCATTGTGCATCCCAAGATGCCCAAGGCCATCCAGAAGCAAGAGAGGTAATGTCTGAGTGGATTTTAGGTTGTACTGATCCAAGATAACCCCCTGCACTGCAGGATTCACCTGTGCTGTGTTTCTGTTGTAGAAAGTGGGATGGCAGCTGTGAACTCTGCTATGGTGAGCCTGGGGGGCCCTGTCCTCCTTGTGCCAGAAGAGTGGTCTGCAGCCCGAGGTACTGGGCCAGGGGGTGCTGGGGGGTGTTTTTTGTGCTCAGTTTGTGGAGACAGATCCTCACTAACTGCCCTTCCCTTTGATTTGCAGGGAGCACTCTCCTGAGCAAGGAGGCGTGGGCTGCCATTGCAATGATTGCTGTTCTCTCTCTGGCCACAATGCTGCTATTTCTGGCTTGTCTTAAATGCCTAAAGAGAAGAGCATACATGGTAAATGTGATACATTAGTGTGCATTTCCAAATAAAATTGGAGTATTCACTTGGTGAATTCTGTCTGTCATGTATTCTCTCTCCTGCATCTAGTTATGCAAATCAACACTGCTCATCCTCTGAATGTCCCCTTACGGGGTACACTTGTCCTTAACAATTGCTATAATACTTAATTTCCTGAGCATCTTTGTTCTGCAACAGCCTATTGCTATGCTAAATTCCTGTTGGACTTTGCAGCCAATTTCCTTTCTTGAATTGCTTATCATTGTTTAAAATTGTGATTCCATTTGATTGGGTTTTTATAAATCCATGTTGTGCCAGTATCTGCAGGATGAGTAGCTTCTCCAACTGCTCTTGTAAACATGAGCCCTGCACTGTACCTGGAAAGTAAAACCTGGCTTTATTGAAATTATTTAGCAACACCCAGAACTTGTGTTGCTTTACTGTTAAAACCAAACTAAATTCCTTTGTCCTTATGGGAATCAAATCATTACAAAAGGTCTTTGAAGAAGATGTGCAGTAAAGCCTCCCTTTTCTGTGTACAGCAGCCCAGAAGGATACTAGAAAAACTGAAGTGGAACAGATTTCTTGCTGCCAGAGCTGGTCTTCTGATGGCAGGAAGTTCTATTGGCCACTTAATAGGAGCACCAGGAGTGTGTAATTTGGGGTGACAAAGTTTCTTCCCTCAGACTGGGGGAGGGAAACTGTGAGTACAGCTAAAGCTGTCTTGTCTGCAACACTGACAGCACTGTCTGTAGCTGTAACACTGCCACCTGAGGTGAGGCAGTTTTTCATGCAGTTCTTATTTTGTGTTTTGTACATATTGCCTTGCATAGTCAAGGAAATGAGGCATAAAATATAATTGCATGTGACAGAGTGAAAGTGCTTTGCTGTAGTAGGAGTGTAACAGCCTTAGGTTAAACATTGTCTGGTAATTTTGTTTGAGCAGGGAGAGTGGGCATCACAAGTCCAGCTCTGTGCTCTCAGTGTGCAGAGATTCAGATCAAGTCAGTGGCTGGACCCTGACACTTATCCAGCATGCTGCGCACAAACAGCACAGGCTCTGGGCTTGTCTGCCACAGCCCCTACTTCACTTAGGCATTATTAGTGAGCTGTTATTAATGCAGTAGACTTCAGGCTGCATTTTCTAAGTATTAATGTGTATTTCATGCAAAGAGAGCATGGAGTAGAGACCATGATGAACATGGTCATTAGACCTTATGCTAGTATTTAATCAACATTACAATGATATAAAAACAGTGGAACTATGAATCTCGCATTAGAGCCACTTAATTAAAAGTCAGTTTCTGTCATTGGCCTGATAGAAGTTAGGGTTGAAAGGATTACTTAAGCTACTGTCCAGCAAACAACCTGCTCTACTTAAGTCTTGTTGACTTAGCACTTGGCTGGAATATGAAGTATTTCTGCAAAAGCCAGGTAAGTGGTCCTTGATGAAGAGGGTTTATGTACTTAACTGTAGGCTGTACTTCACTGTATGGGCTGTTTAGCTCTTCTGACCCTAACAAGGCTGATCTTAATATTCCCTCTCTCCATCCTTCTTGTTCTGAAGGGTGGGGAAAAGATCTTTGTGTGTGTTCAGGTAGAAAAGTTTCTTTGTTTCCTATAGGAGTTTGAACATTTCCTCTAGGATAGTTGGAGTTTAGTGAACAATGTTACAGTGACATGTAAATATGCTAGTTAACATCCCAATAAGCTAAAATATTTTTCCATATCTTACGTATGTGAATCTGCAGACTTGCACTAGTGAAGGTATTTAAAATAACTCAGCTACCTTCTGAATGGGAAGCAGTAAGAGCTTTACTTTTGCTCTTTGGCTTCTGTATTTTGTACTATTTTTACTGCCTGAGGAGGTGAGACAAAGAGCTTGCACATGCCATCTAGGTCAAAAAGAAGGTTGTCCTTGCCTGGTTTCAGCCCCTAGCTGATATTTTTTGCCTAGGGTAAGACTTCAGATGTGGCATGTGAGAGGAGAGCTGTCCCTAGTTTCTGGGGGGGGTTAGCTATAGTTCTCTCAGGGTGGCTCATTTAATGCTCTTTAGGAATATTGTAGGGGTGCTTTGGATGAAGACCCTTAATTTAAATCAAGGAAAACACAGGATTGTGTTCCTTATTTTGCACATAATTTACCCTACAGCCCAGCCACATGCATTCCTTCCCTCTTCCTCTGTGTGCTGCTGCCTCTCTGTTCCCTATTCAAGTGTTATCTGCAAAGTTTAAGTAAAGTACAAATTATTCCTTTCCTGCATTCAGGTAGAGGTTCCTCTCTTCCAACACAGGGCAGGGTGAGGTGGGGATGATGGTGCTGCACAAGGAGGCAGAGGAATTACTCAAGGAACCTGCTGCAGGTGGAGGCAGCATTGACTCTGCAGCCTGAGCTTAAGCAGCTGTTTCAGGAGCCATATCACTATTGGTTGCCCCAAGTCTCCTTAGATGTGGGATATTTGGGGTCTCCCAGGCTGTAGGGCCATGAGAGTGGCTGCCTCTTAAGGCATGTGTATGCCTAAAGTAAGGGGCAGGGAACCAGAGCTGAGTAGGCTGAGGAGCAGCTTGGGAATGGGGCCATGGGGTGGGAGTCTCCTGCCAGATTCTTGTGGGGTTGGTGGTGTTCTGCAGAAAGCTGAGAGCAACTGAGAAAATGGGGACTTGGCAGGATCCTGTCTTGCTAAGGACTTCTTATCTCTACTGCAGTCTTTAATAATTCAAAGAAGAAAACAACCCCTGCCCTCCTTTTAAGGGATGCCTTACTGTCTCCAGTAAAACACCTACTCTATGCTGACCTAGTTTTTCTTCAGCATCTCTCAACTGAAAATGTTACTCTGCTGCTGGTACTGCAGAAAAAAGCAGCTCTTGGTCCAAGGACACAGCAAGAAGCCTTGAAATGACAGGCTGACAAGCATGCAAAGGTCAGGGCAGCAGGAGCAGAACTGTTCCAAGTGTACCTGCAGGTAGCTGAGAATTCACAGTTTTAGTTCCTGCTAAGTGCTGAGGACAGAAGGAATTATATAAAGCAAAACACATTTACAATGCAGAGGGAAATGGTTCATGTTGGGTCAGACTCTGAGTGGGACTGGATGAACTTATTTTAGTGTCTGCTGATTTTATTAAGTAATGCCTCTTCCCTTCAGAAGATGAGGGCAAAAGGAGGATGAGGGGAAAGGATTCAGCTGTGTATTTGTGTACTAGTTGTGCTGTAAAGATTTTGTGTTGTAACTTGAGGCAGGTGCAATGGCTTTATTGCTCTGCCTTTGGAGGTGCCTGCTGGAAAGCTCCTGCAGGCAGCCTTGCCTGAGGGCAGGCTGGCTCTGTGGCTTTGTGCTGTTTGCTGAATTAATGTGCCCATTAAAAGAAAGGGCTCCTGGAAATCTTCTGGGGATTATTTCACTCTGCAGCTGAAGTGTGAGGCCAGCTTAGCCTAAGAGCTGAAACTATTACCGTCACTACTTTGTGAAGCACATTACAGCTCAGGTAGGCTCTGTGTCCATATTTTAGTCAAGCAGCAGGTTTGTTCATGCAAAACTAAATAAAACTAATTTAGACCTTAGAGATCTGCATTTCCTTTACAGGCATGAGAAGGGGAGTAATCTGCAGTTTGTGGCTTAGCAATATTGACCATATAAAATACTTTATTCAAGGAGAAAACATTAGCTCCAACTGTAGCCTTCCTAAAACAAGATGTAAAAAAAATTGCTTTTACTGTAGAATAAACCAGACTAGTAAAACAATCTGGTTAAACAAACAGCACTTTATTAAACTAAAATAGTTAGATACTTTATGCTTAAAAATATAATAATATTTGCAAAAATGAAAAAGTTTAAATAACATACACAAAGTTACAACTGAGAAGCAAACCTGGCAATTTAAATACCTAAACATACCTAAGCATACGCCTGATATGATGAGGCAATGAGAGTAAGTAAAATATCCCTTTGGAATAACATAACATCTAAAGGGAGGAAAAAAGCTTAGACCAGACATATGACAAATCCACTTTTCCCTTTATAATGAACATAAAGCATTGGTGTACTCATTCTATTTGAACAAAGTTTAAGGCTTACAAATATTTTTCCACATTCAAAATGTGTTTCTACTGTTCTGAACTGTGATACTTTTGTATCAAAGTAACCACTGCTATGTACTAAAAGGAGTACATTCAGAACTCCAGTATCTGAGAAACCAAATATCTCCCTCCCCTCTCTGTCCATCTTGCCATTGACTTAACAGTACCAACTATTATTACATCCCTTTACCAAATTCTGTGGAACACTCCATCATGCACATACTCCTACCACTGCACTGCTGCTTCTTGATTATTCTTAAGATCCCTTTTACAGTGCCAGTGTAAGATGTATATTGATTTTTCTCACTTTCCAGGAGTACACAATGATTGAATGGTTAATGAGTAAACAATTACATAGCAAATGCTGGGATTGTACAGCTAAGTGCCTATAAAATGGGGAGAAATCTACTTATTCACTCTTTGCAGTATTGGCAGAAAGATCCAAGCCAGGCTGCTTCTGTGGTAAACTTCCATTAGCATCTTGCTTCCTCATCTGAGCCCTGTGTACATGAGAAAAGAATGGTTTAATTGTCTGTCCTCCCTAAGATTGTCTTTTAAATTTTTGCCGAAAAAAGAAGAGCAATCTGAGATGTCCCAGACAGGTTTACATCTGCTGCTGGTCTACCTAAGTTTCTCTCAAAAGAGGAACAAAAAATAGATGGTGTTACCTGGTTTAACATCAAAGCTGTAGTTAAAAGGGGCTGGTGTGTAGGATGGACTGAGCATTTGGATATGCTTTGGAAAACAGAAGTCTTCTGGGACTGGTGGGCAGTGTTGTGGATGTGGCAGCATGCCCAGAAACTGGGCTTTGCACCATGCTTCTGTCACTCTGCTGCCATCTCAGGCAGCTTTGTGTGTCCTCACGAGCTGTGCAAACACAGCTGTGCTGAAGGAGCTAACTGAGGAAGCCTACAAGAGAGCAGCTGGGATTTTTCTTCTTGCTCTTCCCCATGGCACAGTGATTACTGTGGTTCTTTCCCTGGCAGGTATTTCAGGGCCACAGGTGGCACTCCAGCACAGCCTCCTGCTGCTGCCTCCTGCTCAGCTGCCTGGCTGAGGCAATGCTGACTGAAACAGGTCTCCAAAGTCCTGAGAGGCACAACTGGCAACTCACACAGTGCACTATCCTACAAAACCTGTTATTTTTATTTTGATCACGCTGTTTTGTTTTTTTTTTTTTAATGTATTCCTCAATGTAGATTTGCCTATCCCAAATCTACAATGCATTTTGTTCCCTTACTCTACAAATGCAGGTAAGCAGAGATAGCTGGGTCTTCCTGCAGGAAAAACTGCAAAAGGTTCATCTCCTACACAAAATTCAACTTGGCAGTAGGTTTTAATGATTAAAGCAACACATTAGAGTGAGACAAAGCTGTATTTTACTGCCTGGTGTCATGTTGTGTTAGCACATTCACATTTAAAGACCATTTCTGTTTCCTCTGTCCCAAAAAGGAAAAAGGGCACAAATTAAAGCTCATTTGAATACCTGTCAATGACCAGACAGCTCATGCTGCATTTTAAGCCATGAGGGTAGCCTGAGATTCAAAGCATTCAACAAACAATGGTAAACTAATCAACAATGGCTCATTTAGGAAAAAACATGAAGCAATGAATGCAGAGTTGCAGAGTTTGAAATCCAAGCATGGATCAAGGACATCCAGACTCACCTTGATGCACACCAGTAGTTGACCAGAGTTGAAAGTGCAACGTAAGAAACACTCAGCACTCCAGAAACTCCCAGGGACAGGGCTCCCAGGCCACACAGCACACACAGGAGGGCTATGCCCCCTATGGCTATGACAACTCCTAAAAAAACAGCACTCTGTTACTTAAGCAAGTCTATGTACGAATACAGGAGCTGACATTCTATCATAACCCCAATTTAAAACAATTTGGGAAAACCACCTTCCTCACACATCTGGGTTGCCTCCTTAAAAGCTATGCATGCTCAAGATAACTGGTTTAGGCATATCCTGGTGGCTGGGATTAGAAAGGAAAATAGGATTTTCCCTGTATAGATTACACTTAATTAGATTACTATTCTTGTATTAAGGGTTTTACTACTGCTGAGACTTGAGGACTACACATAGAAATCCTCAATTGCTAGGACTCAAACTTCCAGAAGGAAAAAATAAAAAGGAAAAAGATAACCTGCCTTAAAAGGGAAGAGGCAAGTACATCCATGAATGTATACAGTACCTTCCATGACTATCACACCAATACAGGCCATTACAGCTGTTGTAACAACAAAAACCAGGAAAAATCCAACAGGAACAGCTGACACTGCAATAAACATCAGGAGTGATAAGGCAACAAAAGGATGGTCATCTAAATATTGGCCAACACGAGAATTCATAAAGGCAACAACCTGCAGATGAAAGAAAAATGTTTTAGATTTTTTTTAATCTCTTGTCACAGATTTCTTTCACAGATCACTGCTGCTGTAGTGAAGCACAGGCAGGATAGATTTGCAGCTGGAAGAGGGAACACCTCTTGCCTCTTTGTTTAAAAAGCATGGGGCCTTGCTCTACTATCTCAAAGGGTTATGCCAGTAAAACACAAAAATGCAAAACAGGCTTTCCTCTTTCTTGACTGAAGGTGTGGGAGGACAGGCCTTCCCACAGGCCTTACAGTGTTCATTTAAAAAACAGGGAGTGCATTTAAATAAACCAGGGTGTGATATCCTGATAGTTACAAAAGGAATAGCTTTATAAACATATAAAATTACAATCCAGACCCACATTTGCGTTGCTGTGGATGGTCTGCACCACGGAGTGCCATTGCTTCTGTAGTTCCTGCATTTCTTTAGACATGTTATTAATCCTCAGCCACAACCTCTTCTGAACAGCCAGTTCTCACTCTGCCATCCAATTTCCCTTAAAATTAAGGTACAATTAGTAACAGGCTCATACAGATGCTTTGTGAAAATGTTTCCTTTGTATAAAGAGAGAATGCACGTTTCAGCTGAAGTGATACACAGTCTAAATCATTACTTTTACAAAAGCACATCTAACGTAGAGGGCTTGTCCCTGCAAGCTCTTCTGAAACTCCCACAGCCAAGTAGCAAGACACGGGTGACTCTTACCTTCTTCCTTTGTAACATTAACCCTGTCCTTACCCGTCAGAGTATTCACTTACCAGTAAAAACATCACTTCTAACCACTGGCATGGACAATTTGTTGCTATGGGTTCTGGAAACCAGTAACACACTAATGACACTCATTTCTGTGAGTATCTTTGTGCTCAGCATCGAGATCATACCCCACACAGCTTCAAAACTCGGCGTATTAAGGCAAAATGCTTTCAGATGCTCTGCACATACTGAATTGTGTCAGTTTCAAGGAAACCTCAGCTCAGTAATCTCCCTGCAAATTTCCAGCTGTTGTTGCAGGGGGACCCCTTACAAGGGGCAGGTTAGAGGATGCTTTTTGCTGCTTGCTACCCCGAGCAGCTAGAGTGCCGGTGTCCCTGCCGCGCCCCCGCACAGACACGGGCC